ATATTACTTTAAGATTTTTTTTTAACTAATCAATTTATAATTATGATTCATATAATATAGAAGGACAAAAAAAATGATTTTTTAAAATAATATGTAATGCACATATTATTATTGTATATTCTTAAATATTTAAAAACTCGAAAGTGAGAGCTTTTAAATTCTGTTTAAATWCATATTTTTATAGAACTTAACAAAACATGGAGATTTAATCATGAAAACACAGATTTAATGTGTCACTAACACATATCATTATTATCACATTGTAATACGTTATAAAAAAATATACAATAAACAAAAAAAAAACAGTTTGCGATAGTGCACGCAGTATTATATTTATTTTTTATCATCCCCGTCCTTTGGGCGCCAACTGTCGTACTGTTATAGCTGATATAAGTATAACATACGACTACGGTTCTGATTGTTTAGTACGACACATACTATTATWATTATTATATTCCATTGACGACACCGTTCATAAATATATTATTTTAATAATATTATCAACCCTGAGCACACGCCATTATGCGTCGTCGACTATCTGTTGAACAATTATCTGCATTCATACCTCATACACGTATAATTATTATTGTGTGTTATATTACACACATATATATATATAACACACAACAAGTGCGTTCGCAATAACCGCCGACAAAAACGTGTACCTATAGTTACCGTAACGGTTTGATTACGCAATTTGGATTTTAGTCCGGTGCGCACGTTTTCGTTCGGTGTAGTATAATGTATGGTGACTACGTATTTGAGTCATAGTGATATATATCTTATAAATGATATTAAAATATACCGATATAGGCACCAACGATTATATGGTRTAATCATTAAGAGTTACCTTCCTACGTTGTATTAGAGGACAAATAATTTCAAAAAGAATTGGGATAGGATGTATAGTATTTTATTGTATAGGTACGACGAACGTTCGAATCGCAAACACAACACGCAGATATATATATATATATATAATATGTATTATTTATTTGTTTAATCAATTACGGCAATGATTACATACATTTTTTGAAAATAATTTTTAAATTGTAGGTCTCCTCACCATATAGCCCCTATATGGCTGTGATGTAATGAGTAGGAGTTATAAAATCGTAGTAATATTTAACAGACGCATATAGAATAACATATAAAATAAAACATAACTATAACGATTTATATATAGCATGAACTTAAATTTAAACTTATGTTATGATTAATATTAAGTGAGATATTATCGAAACCTTAAGTATTTATGTATATAAATAATTATCTAACGTCTAAATAATATAAAACTGTTCCCAAATTAGTATAAATTAATTTTTAAAGAAACACAAATTTCACAGAACGCAAATAAAATATAGAATCATTAAAACCATTAAAATGTATTCGAAGTTTTGGAGCAATAATACCAATTAAATTATTAAATCTTGTAATACGTATATATAGTGATGTGTGGCATTTTCAATAACATATTTTTGACTAAATATAAATATAGGCACTTACATGTCTACACTACAATGAATTTAAACTAGCAGGTTATCTACTTATGCTCTTTGTAGATGTTATTATAGTAGGGTGTATAATATGGTCTTAACTTAAAAAATATAAATTTTAGTAAATAATTAATAATAATATTTAACATATTGGTATATTATAATACTATATCGTGAGAAATATTATATACTTAGGTATGATGCATTGGACGTTATACGATTATACCATAAACCTATAGAAAAAAATAACGTCTGATTTTGTATAAAACAATAAGAAGTATAATCGTGATTGCAACGAATAATTATTTTCAACAACGAAAATATTTGATTTATTAATGTGCACAGAATCGTCTGCGAATTTTTTGCAGTCGTGTGAATTGTATGAGACCACCAATGGCGGTGATAATATTACTATTAAAAGCGATTTTCATGAGTAGGCGATTCATATAAATGAAACAATTTTCATGAGCGACTATCACTCGGCCATCGATGCAATCGACAATATCATAATAGTATAGATACCTTATATATATAACAATACAACTGCAGTAACGTATGGCGTGCACTAAAATGTGATGCTTACTATGCACATTATGCATTTTCTGTTAAATTGGCTATCGGCGGGATTAGTTGATTGTAGTAAACACGTTTCGCGCTCTATTGTATAAACAACGATAATTATTGTATTATTTTGTAATTATTATTTACATATAAATCGGCCGTTCCTATACTGAAACAATTTTATTTCCGCGTTCGCACCGAATTCTCACCTATTATAGTCATCGGAATATAATAATCTAGTGACTAATCGTGAAACATTTTATTCGATATTAGGAGGACGTGATTTCTTTTTAACGGAAAAAAAACTCCATAAAAACTCATTTGTTGACATTTCTATTTCTATTATGTTTTGACTTCAAATCAAAACGAGAGTGAAGTAGGTGTATTGTTCGCGTATTTACTATTTATGTGTCCACTGCTTTTGTTAATATCTTGCATATATCTGATAACTTTGATCTCAAGATTATGATCACCATCATGCAGTAATTCGCAAACGTTCAGCTTGCAATTTATTATAAAATCAATAATATTATAAAATATCAAACGCATTAGACATAACTATGGTCTATGTTTTATTTATGAGCCGACTACCGAGTGGAAATTTTGTACGTTTATGTACTTCACTTGGGTATTATTTATGGTATTACGTTTCTAATACGTTGAAAACTATGTTTTATATGGAAATGAAAAATGAATCGAGTATGACGTAATCGTCAAAATATAGGTTTAAACACAATATTTTTTTCAGTTTAAAAATACAGTCATAATACTTTAAATTGACATATTAGTATAATTATAATATACATATTGAGACTGCTAAATATTAATATCGTTTTATTTTCATGATGAATAAATTGTGGTGTAAGTTATATGCTGAAATTGCTGTAAACGTAGTCGTAGTCATCGTTTTTCTTTAAGTAGTTGGAAAAAAAATTTATTTGAAGTCATTATTTAGTCAATATTAGTCAWTATTTTGAGCATGATAATATAGCAATAAATTAGGTTTGTACCCAAAAATAGTTTCCGGTTTTTGATATAACATAATCTTACTATACTTACATGTTTACCTACATAATTAATTTTGATGAAGAAATCATATTATGAACAATTTATACATTTTTCCTTAATACATTGTAATTAACTTATGCCAATTAATATAAATAATTATAAATACTGTTTTTTAGATTCAATTTTCAGTTAAAACTTGTACTTATATTTTAAAGTAGATTAGTGCTCATAGGTCTCTTGTTGATGCTTCAATGGATAATCAYAAAAACTTGTAGGTATACTTCTTTTACGTATTTCAATTATATATTTCTTAAATTTATATCTAATACAATGTGTTTCAGGTAATATTATACGTACATACTTCGACAATTTTATTTGATAATTTTTAATCACACAAATAATAAATCGAATGAACAATAATTACGATTTATTATTCGAACGGTAGAAAATGATAATAAGTATTATTATACCACTAACTATTATAAAGAGATATTTCAATAATATATTTTGTAATACTTGTTGAATTTAACGCATATAATATAATTACGCGGAATTTTCAATTATTCAAGCTATTTTTTTTTTTTCATAATCTTTTTCATTTTTCAACTAATTAGGTTCACACATTATTATATAGGTATCTACGATGAACTTTGACACTTACTCATAAATTATTAAAACAATTCGTCCCTTGTTTAACGTTTCCAATAATTAACAGTAGGCGTACCTACTCCAATTATCAGAATTTTGGGTAAATAAATAAATTTAATAATAAATATGCAAAAAATAATTATCATTAAATATAAGCATTATCCATGAGTGTTTGTGTAAATGTTTTGTTTTGATATTCATGTATAGACATTTAATTTGTATAAATCCACTGCTTTGCAGGTTTGTTGAAATTGCGACATTAACATCGTAATAAAACGACTAAAATATGTAATAACGAATGACGTTTGTCTATARTATTATTATCCGACCCAACTGCATGGGGATTGGGGATTGTCGAATTATACTTTTTGCCAACGAAAATGTTCGAATTTCTCTCGATCCGATCACTCTATAGAATTTATAAATAGGTTAATATAAATAAATGTATTTTGACATTAGGTTTGAAAGATATAGKCTAGGCCGCTAGGGTGATTTGAACTGTTTGGTAATATTATAATACACCAACATTTTATAATTTGTAAAAATAGCCTAAGTATAATAAAAGTATACTAAAGTATATTTATTTATTATATATATATATTATATTTAGTATAAGCATATTAATATACGAGAAATCAATATCTACTCGTTTGAATTTTGAATCAACATCAACATTTACAAAAAAAAAATTGATACACCAAAATATGATTTACAGTGAGAAATATGAAGGACCTTTTTAAAAATAAGAAGTTTTTATCACAACAGTATACCTATTCTAAATTATACATAAAAAAAAATCTCAAGAATTTTAAAATATGGTCTTAAATGTTATATAAAAATCAAAATTTGAATAAACTAATTATATTAAGGGAAAAACCGGAGAGGATATTTTTCTGAAGCACTCTGTATATACACAAGACGTGAAAGAACAAAATGTTTTTCATATATTTGTTCGTAGTTCGTATATTAGTTGTTGCTGAAAATTAGTTAGGAAAGCGGCTATCGATTGAAATATTTAAATCTATTCCTGTGTATAGTATTGGTATATTACGTTGTAACCTTTAGGTCTTCAATTTTGTATTAAAAAAAAAAAAAAAAACAATAATAATAAAGCCGTTTTTGATCATTAATACGTCTATTCGATTGGAATAATTTGTAATTTGAAAATCCAGATTACTTACTTTATCCTGCAAAAACATTAATTGTTAACAGCTGCAATGGCTGGGGCTAATTATACCTCAGTATTGATTAATAATTTCATAGCAAATTGTTTTTTTTTCGTAACAGGATGATCCAACGAGCCTTTCGATCAGGACACATAGACATCAACTGCGTCGACTCTTTTGGTCGTGGTGCCATCAACCTAGCGATCGAAGCCGAAAATCTGGAAATGCTCGAAATGCTGGTGGTAATGGGCGTGGGACCAAAGGACAATCTGTTACATGCTATCAATGCCGAATTCGTTGAGGCTGTGGAACTYCTTCTCCAATACGAAGAGTTGGTGCACACGGAAGGCGAACCGTACGTGAGTGATCATAATGAAACGCATAATTTTATTCAATTTAACTTAAGTTGTCATCATTTTCAATCTGTCAACATTTTTTTTTAAATTTAATAAAAGCTATATTTATATAACACGATAAGTAAATTGGATGATCACAATAATAATAATAAATTGAATCGATTGAGCAGTGGGGAAAAACGTCCAAGGGTTTTGGTTTGAATGAAGTTTAAGTGGATTTTTTTGTAATGTCAACAATTTAAAATCGATCCAGGTAAAAATATTATACTGTTATTTATGTTGTTATAATATTCTCAAAGCATTTAACGAAAACTGTATAAATCATATTACATAATGTCRAACTGCATTAAATAATATTCCGATATGCATTGCAGTACTGCACTATACACACAGTGCATCCATTGTAAAGGTATTCATGATATAATACATATATGTATAATATGCAGTGGTTAATATTTCATGTTATTTGTTTGTATAATATTATAATAATCAAACTGCAACTATTTATTTATTCAAGACAATTTATAATTTAACCTTGTGTCCTTGTCATTATTGCGTTCAATTATATTAATAAAACAATAACATTGTTGTTATTATTATTTACAAACAGTGTTAGCTAAACAATTTATATTTATATAAGCATTAATAATTATAATTATATGTATATATTTAGTATTTACTAATTATAAACGACGTACCTATTTTACGCTCCTTATTATTACGGTTCTTCTCAAATTCCGTATTATATTGCCATTATCGGTACATCGCAAGTACTGAGGTAGAAAAATCATAAAATACCTACTTTCAAATTTGCAAAAATAAACTAAATGCATACTAAGCTGCAGTTTTTCTTTAGAATAATATTATTTTGACACTATTATCAAATAAGTAATACAATTTTAAATAGATGACGAATTTTTTTTTTATTTTCCTATAAATTCGATATATCAATGATCCTAGATTKCCAATTACAAAAACGACTAATAGTTTATTTTTCATACAATACTCATCGATAGATAGTATTTTACCACCTACTATCACTTTTTATCTGTATCAAATAACTTTTACAGATTATAATGAAAAATCACAYCACATGGCTCATTGGGTTACCCAAAAATCAGATTATCACATTATAACACCCACATCCTTCTAAAAACTCAAAGTCACCCGCCTAACCCTATGTACTTCCTTTTTGCCACCACGAGTTTGATCCACTGGCCAGTTAGACCAATTTACTRTATTATAATAATAGTTGAACTTATACCGACGTCCCACAATAATAAAGTGTACCTAACCAATTTTGCTTTTACAATTATGCCGAATATATTATGATGCCTGTCAATAACAATTGAAGAAGATATTTGTCGATATCAAAATATAATATATGTTGTTTTAAATCGTGTGCTGAACGTAACTAATCATAATAATATTTTATTAGAGTTGGGAAAAAGTCGATTGGAACACCGCTTATTTCACTCCTGACATCACACCACTCATTTTGGCCGCACACAAGAACAACTATGAGATCATCAAAATGTTGCTGGACCGAGGAGCAACACTCCCGATGCCGCATACAATCAAGTAAATCTAATATCTATATTATATATTTAGCTGCTATACAGTGATCGTTTTAAATGGACGCTTCCACTCATATTGTAATATCATTGTCTCCCTTTTGAGTGTGTAAAACGTACGCACGACATGGCGAATATGCGTTTAGCCAGTGGCCTGAATAAATAATTTCTCAGTTTTATTTTATTAACATCATAATACAATTATTGCACCCTCTYTCCAACTTGGACATACCTAAAGTAAAAGACTCTGGGACCCTGCCCTGAATTYGCTGCTTCGTTTAGCATTTACGGTTTTGTGTTGCACGAGCTTCAATAATATTATGTCTGTCATCAAACTACTGTCTACTTATTATCTATTATCCCCCGTTGGGTTTTTGAAATAATTTGATTTATACGTAAGTTATAAGTGAGCACCACTTAAAAATTCGTTTTAAAATTAAAATATCGTAAAAAGCCAACTGTATAGAACTCAAATAATGTTCTTACCATTGTGTTTGATGATAATAATATGTAATTGATGACTCTAATAGTATAATATTAAATCTATAGTAACACAAAAGTGAAACCGATGGAAACAAATTGTCTGCTTTGTCCACATTTGTTAAGACGTACTCGTGTGGGTGATGCATTTTGGTTCTTTTAAACGCTTTTTTGTTTTTACTTTTTACCTATATATTAAATCGTGTACCTATTCTGAAAATTCCGACAACAATATATTATATTTTTTYGTTCATTCCCCCTTTTTGTCTTCTATTATCTTATTACTAATACATAATATGTATTAAATTGTATTCAAACTATTTTTTTCCTAGATAAGTTCTCTTATCTTCAATTATCCGCGTCTTTAAATTGTTTCAACTACATCTCATGCCCACAACACGATTATTACWACACATATTGTACTATTACGTAATGAATAGTATAATATAATGTCGGCGTCGTCGGTAACCGTTACAACATTGTTTAAACGTACATAATATGCGTGTAGTATAATTATACGCATAAAGAGTGTGGCTCGTCAATAACTGGAGACTGAGTAGATCACATTACTGTGAAAATTAAGAGGGTATACATTACACGTCAACATTACATTTTTTTCATGGAAAAGATACTACAAGAAACCCGACTCTGGTGGTTGGAATGACTTGAACTATAGATAAACTTTATCCAATCTTCATTCGTACATATAAGTTATAATATATTATGTGCTCGGTGTGGTTATGCGAAGAGAAAAAATTGTGTAACAAAAAAATTCATATTATGTATTTACATATTTCGATCAGATTACTAAAGACTCGCAGATGCTATATGGCATATTATTCATGTCATCGGCCGGTCCATTAAACCATATCAGTTACATTTTTACTAAAACATAGATGCATAATGCAAATATGCACCTATTGTGTGTCTTCTACACAATTTTTAAAATGATAATTTTCAATAGTTTCAAGTTTAATTTTATAGCCATTACATTAAAATAATACATTGTTACACATGTTTTGTTGTGTATGTATAGAGTACGAGTATCATAGTGATATATATGATTCAAAGGTCAAACTACTAAGAGCGAATGAAAGTTATATACTATCATTCGGTTTAAAAAAAAAAAAAGTACATAGGTAATTATATTGCACATGAGTGAGTTAAAAATTAAATTGGTGTATAACAATAATCTACCGACAGAATATTATATAATTTCTGGAAAATTGGAAAACAATTAACTTTTAATTTGCATGSTTTTTATACAGAGTGATTCAATAAGCATAATGCCCCTTTTACTTTAATAAAACCTATAACCGACTATTTAAAATCCGATTATTGGAATATTTTTAAGCCCACACTTTCAAATTATTGAGATTTTTTGTCCCAATCAATAAGTGTCCTTTAGATTTACATACTTATTCTGATTTTTAAATGACTAGCCCCTTTTTTTTACCATAAATTATATAGGTAGTGGATAATTTTTTTAGAAATCTAGATGTACCTCGTACAAAATTTGAACAAGTATTTTATCAGTCGTTTAAATGTTTATATAATAAGGACAATAGCCCTTAAAAATGTTTTGAAAATTATAAAGTACAGATATTTATCATACTTGGACTATAATTTTTAGGAATTATTAATGTTGATAGATTAATTACTATTTTTAAAGTTATCCTAGTCAAACATCATTCAAACTCGCTATCATGGACATATTGTCTTTAACACCCAAATAATTAGATATAGATAGGTATAACTAAACAATTCTTCATTCAAATTTTGATTTTGTCACGTCAAAGTTTTCATATAAAAATGACCCGCTAAATAATTCACAGTAGAAAAGACGGACTATTATTTTGAAAAACAAAAGCTCATGTGTTCTCACTAAAAACTCCTGGAGTGTTACAAAAAWTTTTAATAATCTGAAAATATTGCTTTTAAGTATACTTAAAAGTTCAAACAATCAAATTTAGAAAATTAACCTAACCTTACTAAAGAACAAAAAGGGTGTTAACATGGTTGGTGAATCACCCTGTATATATTTTTCAGTAACTTAAAGGAAGCTTGTTTAAATTGATACATAAAATCATATGCAGTATTTTATTTTGTTATAAATTATAATATATAGAGGTATTAATTAATTATTTTATATCTTSGCGTATGTATAAGTGTACCTATACATTTTTTGGTTTTCTAATATTAAAGTATTAGATACTTCTAATTTACGTAAATAACGTTTATTTTTACTTTTTCAGTCATATCGAATTCGACCGGTATTTAAATACGAGCAAAATAATATTTATAGACTTGTATTAACGAACGTTAATTTTAAAAGCAATTTAATTAATAATTATATTAATTAAAAACCAAACAACATGATCACAGTATCACACCCAATGCCATAGGCTCCTTCCTTGAAATGTATATTAATTATGAGTACTAATTGTACAACCCGTTCGTCAAAATAAGTGTTATATAATAATTATCAATTTTTTTTCTGCTTTATCTAGCAGCTCGTTTCTAATATTTATTACGTTTAAATTGTTATTATATTATACATTTATTCACTCTACATCACAGTTTAAATGTCTATTCACTACTTATAATTAATGTACCTAATGTACCTATTAATGTATACATGTATGTTATCGTTTTCACATACGTCATTACTCATTATACCTATTAGGACACGGAAGAAGACGACTGCTTAATTTTTTTTTATGTCCTAGACGAAGATTTTCTAGCTAAAAAATGTGTTCAACGTTATTCGAATTGACACAAATAGTTTTTAGTTTGTATTTGTCGATATTTTAAGCAATCTCGTAATTTTTATCATTTTTTACTTATGTCCTCTAATTAAGAGAAAAATCAAGAATTTTTTTCGTTTATGATTTACTATACAAATTTAAAAATATTGAAAAAAAATTAAAATTTRATAGTTTTAATGATAATTTAAAATTATTTATAAAAAAAAAATTAACTTAACAAACAAAATATTTTTTATTTATTATAAAGAATTCTACTAATAATTACGTCGTGTTTAATTATTTAATGTAAGCATATTCATATTTATAAATGTAAATACATTAAAATAGATTATTATACAAAAGCGGTTTTGATGGATTTTAATTTTTTTTTTAAATATGTAGGCCATCGTTTACAATTTTTTAGCTCGTATACATCCGGACATTAACAACCAGTCGTTACTCATAATCATAAATATTATACCACAGTATACCTACTATCACGCGTTAGAAATAAACAGCTTTGAAATTTAAACCATGTTTTTATGTATTGAAGGTTATAAAATTAATTATAATTTGTATTTTKTATATTACATTGTATCAAAATATATAATTGCAACGGATCTAAGAAAACAAACTATGATAATGATAATTATTAAAACTTTTCATTTAGGTGTGGGTGTGAAAAGTGTATTACATCTTCGAAAACGGATTCGTTACGATATTCGATGTGTCGAGTGAACGAATATAGAGCACTGGCCAGTCCGTCACTGATCGCACTTTCGTCAGCTGATCCAATACTCACAGCGTTTCAGCTGTCTTGGGAGCTGAGAAGATTGGCCAGAATCGAAAAAGAATTCAAAAACGAATACTTGGTAAACGCATTTTCGTCCGATTAATCACAAGTGTAGCAAAATATTAATGTTAAATTTCACGGGAAAAATAAAACAGCGCACCGGACGACTTTTCATTATCGCRCTGCCAGACGCTTACGTTTTATTTTTCTTCTTTTTTTTTTTAATTCTGAGCAGAGCGATCAATGATGTATTGATTTTAAAATCAAATCTGTGTGTTTTGTCTGTAMGTGTATTGTACGATATATAGATGAGTAGTAGAAATGTCATTCCCCCAAAAATATTATTCTTTGTCTTTTTTGTAATGGTTGATTTTACTCTAAGACTGCTTAAAAACATGATTCTGCGTAGATGCGTTTTGTCTATGTTGAGCGTGGGCCAGACAGCAAATACTGCGCTGACATCATCTTAACAACATTTGTCAAAATTAATTAGTTTTCAAATAATATTGTAGGCAAAAATTCATAAAATGTTCGTATTTTATAGGTTTGAACCCAAAGACTGAACCCAAAAAATCTATGATTTCCGCGCAATTGAATKTTTTAAATCTTTAAAGTTCTAATTTTGACAAAACTAGACATTTTAACATTWTGAACTAAGAAGATTTATTTTGTCGCAATTCAAAAATATAATCAAATGAAACTTTTACGTGTATTTTTTTCTATTTGATAATATAAAATATAGTCATTGGCTGATTGCGTGTTTATTATACACAATCAGCCAATGACATTTTCAAAACGTTTAGATTAATAATAATACATGCAATTGTTTTTTTTTATAATACAAATCTAATGACACAGTTCTATGATAAGTTGGTAGTACTCAAAAGTTTCTAACAAAAATCATTATTTGATACGTGATATACATGCATTATGTTATAAATTATAATAATATAATATGACAATATGAGTAATAAATTCAATGTTTCCGGCAAAAATTAATTCTTCCTACTAATAGTAAAACAAATAATTACAGTAACAGCAATATAAATAAATCATAAAGTTTATACCTAGCAATATAGCTTGCTCATTGCTTAAAAATAATTTTAGGGATGCAATGATTTATTGCCATTGAATTTAAATTTTACATAGTATAATGACTTAAATTTAATGACAGTACACTGTGACACATCAGTGGGCTATCTCCTGATATTTTTTTTGTTCTTAGATTTAAAGTTTCGTATTATTTTCATGTTCTCATCACATTATTTTTCTGTTATAAATAATTATGAGATTATTAAACAAATTATAATTTATAAGAATGCTCTAATACACCTTTTTTTTTAATTATCTATTGTGTCTAAACTTCTAAAGAATTGAAATGCTCATAAATGGCTCTCAATTAAGACTGTAGAGGACAGAGGTTATCGTCGAGTTTAAGATAAAAAATGAATTTCAAATTTCATGTGAATAAAAACTTACTAAAATTGTAAACCTCTTAGGAACCCTAAAGTTCAAATCATCATCATAAATATTCACGTCTATATAGAGAGAAAATATGAATTAAGATTTTATGGATTTTCTTATAATATAACAAGATAAAATAAAAATATCTATTGGTATAGTTAACTATGAATTGTGATTGATCAAACATTGTTGAACGGAAAATGTTTCCGAGAATCTGATTGAAAATATTTCGTAATTTTAACAAAAATAACGCAGTTACAATTAATATCTGTTGACAGTATAGTGACGATTAAAACGATGATAAACCAAACCTAATCAGTAGTTATAGTTATCATATTATGTACTTCACGATTTATTTACAGGTCAAACAAAAAAATATAAAATTTATACATGGAGTTATAATTATATGGTTTTAGATTATTTATTTTAACCACATCCTAACCTGTACCACATTTTTTTCTTTCCTTGCAAGTATCTTAAATTCTCACTTGTAAAACTTTCTGAAAATGWTTATGCCTAATTTTAGGTACATAAACAGTAACTTGACATTTAATCAAACTTTGATTTTATCAACTCTTACATTAATTATAATAACTGCAATAATTTAAAAATATTTTCAATAATGACGAATTTTCTTTTCATGTGTGCCAAATACATATAGGAACTCCGACAACAATGTGAACAATTCGCTGTTGACCTGCTTCGGCAAACTCGAAGCTCCTACGAATTAGATGTGATTYTAAAGCATGACTCAGAAAATGCACCAAGCATAGGATCCATGAAACTAAGACTTGTCGAACTCGCCATAAAATATAAACAAAAAAACGTAAGTTTGTATACCAAATTGATCAGTAATATTAGAATAAACATCAAAAACCATTTGATATTTAATGAGTTCTTTTATACGTATTATGTTTACCTAACCTATAATATTTTTATTGATACTATTTTGAAGATAACATATTATTACTAGCTTTGAAAATAAGCTAGGTAGGTATAGGTATTTATAGCAAATTGTTTGATGTGTCTTACAGTTTGTAGCACATCCGTACATACAACAACTTTTGGCGACCGTCTGGTACGAAGGTCTTCCAGGATTTCGTCGTCTACGACTTTTCAAGCAAATAATTGAAATCATCAAAATCGTCTACTTTTTCCCATTCTACTGTCTTGTGTACCTATACGCGCCCGGTGCTCAAATTGGAAAAGTAATGGAAAGACCATTTATGAAATTTTTAATCCATTCATCTTCCTATCTTTCATACTTAGGTAAGTAAATGTTTTAAAAGCATCGTKACATATATGCGTACAACGATATTAAAAGCTATCACCAGCTGGTTTAAATATCGAACGTTTAGAATTTTTAGATAACACATCAATATACGACGTAGCTACTACGCTCGTTCTTATAGTTATTAGTTATTAGTTTATTACTTATATTACACATTAGAATTGTTTGACATTTTTCTTTTTYTTTTCTAACAATTCTGATAAATTTTTTCGTAAGCGATAAGTCCTCTATGTTTTCAATCGCAATATTTGCAGTCGTATAGAATGCATTTTGAAATACTTTTTAAAATACTATAGATTTTAACACACTGTACTTATCAAATTCATAACTATTTTTCATCGTAGGTAATAATATTTTAGGTTTTACTATTAAAATCTATATTTTAACTCTTGAACACTACATTATGGTTTTTCTTTTACCATTATTTATATATTATATCAGTTATTGATTCCTAAAGTCATAGTTTTTTCTTTTAAGTATTTGACGTTTTGACGATCGAAGAAATGCTGTGAAAAAGTCTTTTGTACTATCTCAGCTACCATCATGTCACTCCACTCTAATAGTCTTATCTAAACTCATGAATAACCTTTAAATCAAAAATTGACTATTAGTTCAGTATTCAATGATTTAGGAATATAAAACATTTCGTTTATATTTAAAAATCCTATCACATGTCTATGTATAATACTATGAACTGAAAGTATTAGTACATACAATTTCATATGTATATTATATAGTTACTTAAGAAAAACGGTTTTACAGTTATTATAAATGACTAAAATACGAGTACCTATAATGTAGACATTTAAGAGGATGTGGTGCACGACCATTTATTGTCTGTCTTACTGCAAGTGCACAAAATAACAAAAAATAAACATAAACTTTGTTATTTTGCATATACTTACTACAAAGGCAACAAAATTTCTATGTATCGTCTTCTTAGTTCTTAAGTGCTAATTTTCTTGGTTAAATAATGTACACGTTGTTCCTCTTTGCATCTGCATAGGCACCTTTTTACAGGTAATTCATTATAATATTATTGGAACAAACCGGGTGAACGACCTGTTTATCATATCGTATTATATTATTGTCCTATGACGTATATGTTATTTTTTTGTGACTGGTTTATAAATATTTTTAATAATAAATTCTCATTTTTTAAAATGATTTTTGTAATTATTATTATTACCCATCCTATAAATATCTTCTATTTAAATATTATATTATTATATGTTATGTTTATATTTTTAACTAATAAATTGAGAGCAACTATCAAAAATAGACAACACTTTTATATATTTTATAACAAAAATCAATATTGGGCGAAATAAAAATGATTACATTAATACTTTTTTAATGGATTTATATTACCTCACCCCGTTGTTGCTCATGTAACGAAAACTGTGCATCTAATATCGTGTTCARCAAATATGTAGGTCGTATCATAACAGTAAAATATTATGTAAACTTCAATTTTTCAGAACACAAATAGCTACTATTATATCGTACAATATTTATTGACAAACCGTTTCTACATAACGACAGAACAATAAACATTGTGAATTCGTTTACCTCTGTGTAATTAATTATACCTAGTTTGATAGTTTACAACCTTATTGGACTTGCAAGCCATAACCCATTTTATTTTCTATGCATAATATTTCGTGACCCGCCATTATGTTTCATATTCTTTCTTTGTACGTTTATAAATATATTTACATTATTTTAAATTAATTTATTGCGATAATATTGTTTATTTGATTTGCTTTTTACGATTTATTGAAGAACATGTATATTTTTTTAACTATTAAAATTAAAAGTTTTGGTTGTGACCCAACGGTTGAAGATAACTGACATATTTTTTTATGTATRTGGTATATCTATAAAGGAAGTAATATACTTATATAACGAGGAAAGATTATATGCACATTTTTTTTTACATTTCCTACCTTTCTAAGACTACTTTGCTATTTAAGAAAAAAAAAATTATGTACATAAGTCATGACTAATAATATCCACGCGAGAAGATGATTTACGTACCTATATAGATTATATAGATACAATTGTTGCGCACGTGGGTGACGCGCGAAAATTCTAGAACGTTCGAAGACAGAATAATGATATCAAATACCTATAAAATTGAACAAAATTAAGTTCTACGATATTATAATTTTTTTTTTTTTGTTTGAGAGGGGAATTTGTGCAGTGGCTTATATACTGTAATAAATATTGATCTTAGTAATTGTGTGCATCATAATTAAATGACCTATCGGCGCCAAGTATGGAATACACTATTTCATGCGCAGTAAAATTTTGTTGAAAATGATTCACTTATTAACATTGTACTATATTGTAC